TCACGAAAACCTTGGACTATAAATACTTGATGACGTATCACCTCTGCCAAGACGCGCTTGAAATCTTTTTGGAATTCTAAAGCAAATGTCTGGCTCGCATGATCACCCTTCAACGACACAATTTTTTATCTCTGTGCATTGCCTCAGTTTTTACAGTTTGGCACAGTCACCCTCCCGTGGAAACATACCTTCTGGAATTCTGAGCAGCTTTCTATGTCCGAGCATCCACAATAATTTAATAAAATTGCAGAATAAGCTGGATAAGCTGCTAGATGTGGGGTGCCTCAATGAGGTTCATGAAACGATTGTTGCTTGTGAAGCCCTCCCTGACCACACCGATCTCAATGGACGCAAAAGTGACTTCCGAATCACTTATTACGTCAGTGGCCATGTGGCCCGGAAGATTGGGAAAAAGACGAAGTGTAAAAAATGTAGCAGGTTTGTTGCTTCACTCTGAAAATTCCAGCTTGCTTCCGGCAGAATCATTCCTTCTGTACCCGTCCGAATTCTTAACAGACCTGGTCAAAGCTATGGAAGATGCATTCATCTATTGCTTCAGCTTCAACAAGTTGAAAAGTGACAGCATAACAGACCTTATCTCTTGCCTGTCTGTGAAGAGGTTAAATATGGTCGGCTTGAACACCACAAACTGGAAGTGACAAATCAGATAATTAGATTCTTTACGCTGACCAGAATGCATTTTATCGTTGCTGAAGGAAATTCGTCCAATAAAAAAAGAGATTGAGACGTGTGACTTAACTGTCATAGTGTTAACTAAGCGAACAAGGTTTTGTTTTAAGGTATTGTGCATTACTCACAATTTTTTCTTGTGATTTTACTATCGTCTTGTTCACAATGTTACAAATCTCCCATTAACAACTGTGATGTCACTGTCTGGCTGTTCTTCACATATGCAGAAATCATTTTTTTCGTGAACTGGTTTGTAACTGTATTTAAGTTTGCCGTTCAGATCTCAATGTCATGTGTGTATGTACGCCCATTGTATCATCGTATATTTCCTGTTCTTTTTAGTTGCCTTATTCACTTCCTTTAGCTGAGTGTCGTATAACCTGTTCTCTTCAACTTTAATACAGATGTTGTGTTTATTTTTCGTGTTGTTTTCCGCTTTCGTGAAAATAAATGCTTTGCTTGTAAAATTAGACCTTGATTGCGCCAGTCATAAAAAAAACGACTGCCGATACTTTTACGTGCATTGAGACTTAACGGAGAACACTGCGGTGTCAAAGTGAAAACTACACGGACTTTGTTTTGGTGTCAAGCTCACGGCAAGTCACTTGATTCTCTATTTTCTAAGCTTCGTAGTTGATATACTACGAAGTGAATTGAAAACACTAGTTTTCAGTGCCAATACACGCTTTGCAGTGCACCGCCAGAATCGTTACAGGTAGCCTTCGTTATAATCCGCAGGGTAGCGTGAAATATTTGCAACGAAAAACCACTGACACGCACGCGCGGGCGCGAAAAGGGGCATCTCGAAAGCGACCGCAGCGCCGCCGCCTCCGGATGAATTCGCGCTCGCTCTCCGGCGCGCCGATGCTGACACCTCTCCTTCCAGCCACCATACCAGTAGGGTGCAGTGAAGCCATGGCGGCCATCTTGACATGGGCAAGATACGGTAGCCAAGGTGCGTCCGCGGCTTCTTTCCGCCGTGGCTTTTAATGGTTATGGAATGCAATAAGTGGTAAATTCCCAAAAACAAAAAGTCAAATGGCAAACAAGAATACAGTCGACCTTATTCTATATCTTTAAGCGTTTCCCTTGCAAGCATGCACACCGACGAAAGGCATGAAATACTGGTTTTATAAAAGAGGCATACTCGCGAGAGCTGAGCTCACTTTCTTGGAATTCAATTTCTCGTTAATTTTCCACTTCATGTAGCGGAATCTTAAGCATAAGTAATCGATTGATTTGATTGATTTGTGGTGTTTAACGTCCCAAAAGCACCATGTGATTATGAGAGACGCCGTAGTGGAGGGCTCCGGAAATTTCGACCACCTGGGGTTCTTTAACGTGCACACAAATCTGAGCACACGCGTTTACAGCATTTCCGCCTTCATCGGAAATGCAGCCGCCGCAGCTGGGATTCGATCCAGCGACCTGCGGGTCAGCAGCCGAGTACCTTAGCCACTAGAACACCGCGGCGGGGCTCTTATGCATAAGTAGGTTTTGACTACTTTCTTTGCGTGGAATACAAAAACGGGTGTCCCATGCTTCACACGTGTACAAAAGGATATGCTCATCAAAAAAGAAGATATATGTATGAGGGAAAGCTCATCCCCCTCCCCCTTCTCTCTGGAATCGGCTTTTGATTCTTGATCCCTTTTATTTATCTTCAGGATAAAGCCTTGCTCTTTTGGTTAACTGCAATTTCTCTATGGTAGAATTTTCTTCTGGAGCTGTTTTAGCTCCCCTCAGGAAACAAGAACTTTTTTTTTTCGTTTTGGAAGAGCTACCATGTAGTTGATGCACATCTCACGTCTTCAAATTGAATACAAACAATGGTACGAGTATCCCTCGGTTATGATCGTTTTCTTTACAGTTAGTCGCACCACAAACATTGCACAGTTCAGGCACTAGTTTTTATTCGCCGCACTTCAAATAACAAAATAAAAGGCACGAGTGTAAAAAAAAGGCACGTCCCTATGTGTTGCCCAAACAAAGTTAACTACTCTCATGTTTGCGACTTAAGCTTCTAACTAACACAACTAAAAAGCAGGGGCGTAGCCAGTGATTGGCACATCAGCCCCTCCCCCCCCCCCCTCCGTTCTCCCGAAATTATCCATGGCGTAGAGAGCGCAAATGGTAATTTCAAGGGGACGCTCCTCTCGAAAACAACAAAATGCCCCTCCCCCCCTACTTTTCCCCTCCAGAAAAAAAAATTGGCTACAGAAGGGTTATGACGGGACTAGTTGGTAAAAATGCATAATAGCTCACAGCGCACACACTTCGTCCGTGTCGTGCCCTGTGAGCTATTCTGGCTACGCCACTGCCGTAATAAAAAACGAACTGACGGAGATGCCTATTCATTTTCAATGAATGGTTAACGGTATATTATATTCTCACTCACTTAGTGGTATCAACATGCACAAGGATGTGTACAATGAACATCACAGGTGTTTTAAAAATGCATCTAGCCCAGTCGGTTAATTTGCGGTTCACAGTCCGGTCCGGTGGCTAAGGTACTCGGCTGCTGACCCGCAGGCCGCGGGATCGAATCCCGGCTGCGGCGGCTGCATTTCCGATAGAGGCGAAAATGTTGTAGGCCCATGTGCTCAGATTTGAGTGCACGTTAAAGAACCCCAGGTGGTCGAAATTTCCGGAGCCCTCCACCACGGCGTCTTTCATAATCATATGGTGGTTTTGGGACGTTAAACCCCACATATCAATCAAGTGCCCCTAACACATGTGATCGCTGTATTTTCGCTACCAGTCATCCAGTCATTCAATGACACACGTGTTCAACAGCACACCCCGAAGTGCTTCGAATATTTTGTTCTTTAAGAAACCCACTAGGAAAAAAAAGAGTGTCCGTGAGATATATGAATACAGGTTGAGAGCTATCAACATATGCGTGTGTTTCGGCATACTCTATTCATGAAGCTCGAAATACGATGCTCACAACTCAAAAATAAAAACCTTTTCGCTTTGACCTATGTAGCGTTAAGAAAGGCATGATGTATCTATTACAACATCCGGAGGCTCTACAACCCCGGCGAACATCAGGAACATCTGTGCGGCCGCAGCCGCTAGAGTTGCGGAAGGCGCGCTTTCTGCCTATGACAAGATGGCGGCACGTGGCTTCACCTGAGGGCCGCCTCCTCCACTCCAGCACCTATTACTTTAACCTTCTTGCTCCCACCTCCCTCGCCTCGCAACGCCGACGCAGGCAGCGTCTGCTTGCGAGTTCCGATGGAAAATGCGAACTACTCGAGCTGCATAGCTGTTCACTGGCTACAGGATTTTGACTTCAAAACAAGTGGCCGGGGGATTTCTCCTGTGCGTTGTTTTAGATTTCAGTTAATGTTATACATGTGTTATGAGTTTGCAGAGATATGAATGTGCATTTTCGATTATTAAACGTCTGATCCCACAGTACTCGGCAGTGAGAAACCAATTTAGTATGTATGCATAGTTACGCTTTTGAGAGAACAATAAACGGCGACAATTGTCAGAGTGGAAGCGTGCGAACGAACAACCACTGAACATGACCATTACTGGAATGTTATGAAACTTTTGTTTTTTGTACATAGTGTAAATAAAATTTGTCTAAGCAGCATAGTTTGGTATCGTTATACCATTCATTGTATCATGATATCACATGAGTTCTTGTGTACACGTATGCCAACATTGTCATGTATAATAGAGCAATGATGTCTTTATTTCAACGTAGTGATGTTGGTCGTGGTACACAGATCTGTCGAAGTGTACGTGCCCATTACTGGAATGTTATGAAACTTTTGTTTTTTTACATAGTGTAAATAAACGTTTTCTAAACAGCAAGTGCTGCACGCAACTACAGTACCAGAATCAAGGACGGGACGGCTTTATGCTCTCCCATAGTAGAGTACTAAGTACTTTAAATCGTTAGCAACTTTTTCTAAACACACTTTTCATCAACACAATGTAGGCATTGTTGTTTTCTGTAGTGCCAACGTAAACACATTCATGAGAGAAAACGCAGGGTACTGTGAACATGGCTATAACACTTCGTTTAGCATACATAAAGCGCAAAATCCACCTGGTTCGCTCGACATCTTTTTCATCAAGTTGCGAAAGGTGCTTCCACCAAACGCAACGTCATTGGTATTCTCACATGCCGCCTAAAAACTGCGATTTGTGCGAATTGCTACTGGTTCACTTAGGTGACCGAAATCTTTTGCAAATGCTCGAAAACAAAGCGCTTATGTACTTTGAATGCTGCCTCTTATGTTTAAGAGCTCACGTATGAAACTAGGCAGAGTACGAGACATGCAACCCACCAATGTCGGTCAACCGTGTGGCTATTCTGCTGTATACCTGCACAAAGAGCAACAGAACAATCACGTGTTTTTAAAATAAAACACATCTTGAAAGCACTAGGACTAGTGAAAATGACTTGTCTCAAGACTATGCGATGTTCTCAGAAAAAAAAAGCATACTTGAAAACACGACTGCAAGAGTCGTGTATTCAAACCAATTACAACGCACTGGAACAAGAAAGCAGCGTATCAGCCATTTTTAACAAAGAGAAATATGTCCCTTACGATAAGCTATGTTTATTTAGGCATGCAAACACGGCATTGTAGACTATAACAGAACCACCAGCTTTATGTAAAAAAAAAAGGAGGTAGACCGGCACAGTTTTCTTGCACTTACTTCTATTTCATTTTTCATAGATGTAGTTATACTTCTTCTGCAATATTTGTCATTTATCTCAGCCCGGTGTCATCTCATTATTCGCCTCAGCCCTATTGCCCATACTTGGCCTACTCGTTTCCCATCACCATGAGAATTATCATCCCGCAGTTTAATGATACGGTGTACACACGTTACAAAGCCAGCAAATCCTCCTTAACTACGTTCAGTGCGAAATAACATAGTGTCGGGGTGTGACGACTGCGTCGACGTCAGTAGCATTCGGACGTGTACATCTCGCAATTATCACAAGAGGGCATACGTAACTTCACTATCATTTTTCGATTACGTTGAGATATCTCTAATTTTGCCACTTTAGTAAGCAATGACATCACCAAGACATCACGAGATGACGTCATAACTTCGCCACGTGATTATCATCCTCGTCGTGTGGTAACGGCGCCTCCAGACGGATGCAAATTCTGTCTCACTAAGAGAATAAATTGTAGAGAAATAAAGATACGGAGGTTAACTAGTTCAGGATAGCCGGTTTGCTACCCTACAGGTAGGAACTGGATGGGGAGATATAGAGATAGAAAGAGAAGAAAGAGGAAAAAATAGGCCACACAGTAAGCGACCAGAATGTATGGCTGGTACCCTGTTCATGAGCAAGATGATAACCAGGTTGAGCATTGAGGCGGTCACCGCCGTGGTGACGTGGGCCAGTGCGCGCCAGCTCTGGTCTCGGGAAAGCAGCGCCACCAGAATGATGCGGTAGGCGATGATCCCGAACACGGTGCATATCACAAGGCACAACTGCGATTGAGGAGCATCACTAGTAACAGTTCAGAAACAAAACTTATTTAAAGGAGTGGTCGTGTTGCACATTGTTACTACTTATCGTGTTGAATCGAGGGAGAAGGTGTCGGTTTATTGACTCATTTTCTTTGTCGGACGCCATATTAATGAGAGCTAGACATTGCGTTGAAGGCGCACATGCTACACACGAGAGAACACTATTGAGAGCACTTTGGCACATACGCACTTTGAACAGGACTAGCTACGCGCTCATTCGAAGAAAACGAACAGTAGGTGACCGTTGACAATTTTGGTACCCGTTCTGTTTGCAATCTTCTATCTGTTTGCCTTATTCCTGCTTAGATGTATGCTGAACTATCTATCATTCAATAACAATACACAGTTACGTTTGGTTCAAAAATGAAGGAATTCCATGAGTTATATGGTTCCACGGCCTTAGGATGAACGAAAAAAAAGTAAATTACTTCACTTACAACATAACTATCTGCCTTGCATAAATTTTCCTCCCACACAGAAATAATTTGCGCAGTACGTGGCAACAGCACTCTATATCGGCGATAAAGAGAGTCATTGATCTGTTGAGCTGTTGTACTCAACAAGGCTTTGTTGTACTAAACAAATTCCTGGAGGGTTTGTGATGGAGCATCTGGAAGACATCGTGCATGATCATTTGTTTACAATGAGAGGGGCGTTTTGGCTTGCACTTGAGTGATTGTGCGTCTTAACTTGTCTCACGTCGTTTCTGTGGCGGAAATGACATCAGTAAATTCTAGGTGCAGCCAGGCGTTATTTTGTTTAGAGCAACCTATGTGTTCAGGAAAAAATGTTTGATGGTTTAGAGTACAAGTTCCTCTATTATGGGAGAGTGTTCAGCTGTCCCGTCTAATGAAATGTGTGAGCGTAAACTAAACAATTAATGGGTATAGTTTAAAACAAGTGTCCGAGAATTTAGGGCACGATGTACTCTACTAGGGGAGCACGCAGCAATTATACAAGGATGGCAGCGCTTTAACAATGCGGACGAAGCATGCAACACGAAATTTTCCACGTATCACTTTAAATGCCCATTAAAATGTACTAGCTGCGTGGTCTGACGTATTTAACATCTTGTGTCCAATTACTGTTTGATCAAGCTTTCTCAACGCATTTTAGGAGCATTGTAATCGCGGCACGTGGCTTTAATCTTAGGCTAGGGAATGCACTATATGGAGAGGAAACCAGTCTATATTGGCTTACGAATTTCGGCAAGTTCCACGCTGAGAATTCGGCCTAGTACAAGGACACCGAGGTAAACGTGTATGGTGCACGTTTAACGCAATGAAGCTTGTCACATAAAGGTTCGTTAGCGGGATAAATGTTAGAAGTTACAAATTCGCACGCTTTTCTATAAATTCACAAAAGCCCGCTGTACGAGAAGCGTATGTTCTTTTCGTTCTAACTCTATTTCATTATTCTCTGTTAAGAATGACAAGATGAAGAGAAGAAGAAGATGAAGAAGTTGTCTTGAATAGGTAATTCAACATGCTGGAATGAGGGGGAAGAAGACGAAGAAGAAGAGGGCGCGGGGCGAGTGAGGACGTGAGAGCAAGCAAGCAAGCAAACGTGAGAGCTGGGACGTGGCGTTAGAGGGGCGAAGGGCTGCGGAAGTTTGGACTGGGCCTCGCCCCAGGCTCCCGCCCGAGCACCTGACTCGGCGAGCAGCTCGCAGAGCAACCGCTGATCCTGGGCTGCAGTTTCCCACCCGAGTACCGACCTCGGCGAGCAGCCCCGGAACCACCGCCGACCCTGGTCTGCAGGGTATACCGCCCGAGCACCTGCCTCGGCGAGAAACCACTGGAGCTACCACTGTAGTGGTTCTTCAACATCTTCGCCACCGTGGAGCATCAATATGACGTGTCATCACGCGTGAGAGGGACTTTCAGCGGACCGGAGGCCACGCCACAACTGTAAGCGCGGGAACTAGAAAACGCAAACGGAATCGGACGTTGAAACGCGCGTCATTAAGACATTTCCTTTTCTTTGTGTTTCAGTCAGTGCGTGTTTTTTGTTGTTGTTTTGTTTTGTGATTTTTATGGTAACGAAGAGGGAGTTTTCGTTTGGTACCATCAGCCTCTACGGTTCATTTCGCAACGCCCGACGAGCGAACCAAGCATCAGCATATACGCGTGACATTCTCCTGCGCTCACTTCTAAAGCTTTCTGCACCTAAAGTGGTATCGCATAGCTGGTTACAACCTAAGAATAAATACCCGCTCTGCCACCAGTATTTCTGCACGCCTGCCGTCCACCTATGCTACAAAGCAACGATTGGTAATTTTCGCTTCTGACCATAAGCACGTTTTTGTTGATGATAGAAATACTACGCATGTTATGAATTGAAAGTTCGTCATTTCTCCTTAAAATGTTATGGTTGGTTGAATAGTGAACTCGGAATGATAGCGTTAAAGAGCTCGTTTCACCGAAAACCTGGCGTTGGCGTCAGCGTCGTTTGGTTCTTAGCCAAAAATTATCATGTGGGCTGAGAAAGATGCAATTGAAATAAACTGAAATTTTGGAATTCGAGTGGGAGTCGAACCCGGGTCGTTTCAGTGGCAAGCGAGTGTTCTGCCCTACAGCTTCGCGTCTGCTTGTGAACGCAGTGAAAACAACTTTCTCTGATTGGAGATGCAGCGTAAAATTTACAGCGTAACATGCTATACAAACACACGCATCCTGTATGAATGCTTCACAGTACAACATGCAACATCGGAGAAATGACGCGTGGTACAAGCGTACATCGCCATCTGGCGTCATAACAAGTGTATATAACAAGTGTATATTATAACGACTTCGTTGTTTACAGTCAGTCACCCGCTACAAAAGGCACGCACATTACTGCGCCTATTACCTTAAAGTGACGTAGTGGGTGCGTAGCAAGTTCGAACAGATTTTATTCTTTAAGTGTTCGAAGTACGCACTAGGAACAGAATATCTCCTTTGTGTTCAACTCTTGAAGGCGAAACTTAAGGTTTCCCCCAATTTTTTAAATTAAATTTGCCAAGAAGTAACAATGTTCAAACGAAAACTATTGAAATGAACACGTGTATGTACGGCCAAGTCATATGCCTGAAATACGTGAGAGTTTCTGACGTTACGCAAACAAGGGATTGATATTAGTGGGACATAACTTTCTTTTAATGTTCCTCCTATAACAATCATGCTTTACTCCGATAATAACTGAGCACTCACACCTGTGACCTTGTTCTTTGACGCTCTGAAGTTTATCCCTCAAGGTTTATAAACTAACTCATGCTTTTGTGTTCCTAAGCTAAAATGAAGGGGTGACAGCGGAAGTGCCTCGAACAGGCTGACAGATATTTCGATAGGAGGACCTATCTTTCTCAGAGGCTCCATGTCATCCTTGGCGTGTTAGTGTGAAAGGGGCTAGATGTAACGTCACCCCACTACGCGGTTTCCATCTGTCGGCTCCCATCTTGATTTAAGCTTAAAATGAATATTTTTCAAAACCACGTTTTGCAACACTGTTCTCAAATAAGCAATGTATGTCATAAACAACAACTCTGCAATTCTCTGCGTCAGATTTTGGTGACATGGGCTCCACCAACGTTCGGCTGTGAGAATGTGCTACATATCTCTAGTTCAACAACGCAAACAACATGAGAAAAAAATAAACTTGTGGGTCTTTTGTAATAACGATAGAGCAGTGCAGAAAAGGTTATATGACAGGAATTTTCCAATAACACCTATAGGTAAAAATAAGTCACTTTCTAAGGGACTTCTCGGCTCATAATCACTCCTGCATTGATTCTTTACCACATGTTGAAAGTTAGAACTCTAAACAAGACCTGTAAGGCTGCCTCGGTAATATTTTGCATCTTCGTGTAACTTGAACGCTATAATATCACTCAAAGAATTTGAAGTATAGAATATCTCACTAATTATTTAACGTTGTACCGTTTATTTTATGTATCGCACCAGTGCTTTAAAGGTACTCACCATGAACAGCACGATGGAGTTGGCCCTGATATTCTGATCATTTTTTCCCAAAAAGGCACGTATGGTTCGTATCTCTGCAAAAATGTTTTGTATGAATATGCTATTTCGGAAGGAAACATTGCAAATAGTATTACCGGAAAACCAGCCACATATAAAAAACGATTTTGCCGTAAGGTTGAAGCACTGAGTGCGATAAGCAACAATATTGGAATACTATCTGAAGTATAAGGCTGAACAGCTAATCCTCTGTGAATTTTATCTCGCGTAACTCTAAGAAACGCTCGTGTAAGGCATACAACTGCTCCAGAGAGATAAGTGTTTATATATTTATTTCTTTGTTTGTTTGTTCGTTTGTTTATTCGTCACTATTATCACCTCGTTCTTGATTGATTGATTGATATGTGGGGTTTAACGTCCCAAAACCACCATACGATTATGAGAGACGCTGTAGTGGAGGGCTCCGGAAATTTCTACCCCCTGGGGTTTTTTAACACGCACCCAAATCTGAGCACACGGGCCTACAACATTTCCTGCCTTCATCGGAAATGCAGTCCTCGTTCTTGGGGTTACTACAGAGAGGGCGTCACATAATACAAAATTTTCACAGAAAAAAAACAATTCTATAGCACGTAGAAATAAGAAATAAATCATCAGCATCACAAACTAGGAACAAACAACAGTGACTACACAGATAAAAATGAGGAACCAGGGCTAGCATCAGATGTTAGCGCGCATCGATACAAAAAAAGCTCTCTGATGCATCCTCAAAATTGACTGACGCTGTTTGTTAGAACAACCACGCGAGGTAAGCTATTCCACATTTCTATTGTGTCTATTTCTATATTCGTTCAATCTGTTGTCACAGCGCGAAGTAAACGGCGAAAGAAACAACACGTACAAGGGTATGTACGAACCATCAACTGATGTCTGTCGAGATATACCCCACGTGCGAGCACTCCCAACCTCACCCGTAGGATCAAACTTCACAAAGTTGCGGCCCTAACGACGCAGCCCCTTCCCTCCAGAGGCGTCCCTTAGTGATACTTCACACGACAAAACACGGGTGGAGCATTTCCCTCTCTGCTTGACGCGCCATTGTCGGCAAGGATTGCAGGTAGGCTGATGTTATCGCGTGGATCCTTCACGTGACGGAAATGGCCGGCTCGTTTCACCCCTCCTTCAGCCGCGTTGCTCGCACTTAAACACACGATGCGTGAGGTGGTGTAATCACTTTGGACTTTTTACGGGACATGACGGCGACGGCAATTGCGAAAAACCAGTGAGAATGCCCATGTAATTACTATGGCAATGGTAACGTGCAGTAATTACCCATTGAAGTTAGAAGAAAACTAGAAGCTTATTTCGTTGCATAAACTATATAACATGACCAATCCTTTCTGAGTAATGCGTGAAGTAGAGGAAGTTTCATGAAAAAAGAAAATTCTTGTTCATCCGATGCAGAGGAAGCCTACAAGGTTTGACGAAAAAAAAGGAACTCAAAAACCTTGTTTTTTTGTTTTTTTTTGCCATGAGTCCAAACAAGTCAGAACTGCAAAATTGAAGAACGTGAAGAACAACGCACAAGAAAAAAAGGATATGCCAAATCTATCGTATGAAGGACGACCAAAGTCCCGCAATCACTTTCTTGCGTGATGTTGCGGCCAATCACAATGCACGCAGTCGTCTTATCTCCAGCGCGCCGTATACGACATATTGTCGTTCGAGCACGCTGACAGCAGCTTGCTTCTAACTGCGTTAGAAGTCCCAATGCCGCTCAATCAGTGCGTATTCACGCGAATGTCTTACACGACCTTCCTCTTGCTGCCAAAAGGCGGTGTGCGATCGAAAGCTGCATACTGAGAACTACTTCCACACGATTGTGTCCGCGGGGCCTTTTAGGTAAGTAGCGTTGAAAGCTTGGTGAGTAGACGCGAATACATCTTCGCTCGACCAGCGTGGTGGGACGAGACACAAAATACAAGTGAGACGGAGGAAGGCACGCTCACAACTGCGCTCATTGAGAACTCTTCGGTCTGATTTATTTCTCTGCACCCGTCCAGCCACGCCGTTTAATCGAAACTGCATCTACTAGCTGGTGCCTTGGTCACGAGTTCGATCAAATACCAACTGGCCCGGTAAAGGAATAGTTAAAATGAAGCAAGCCAAGTAATTGTTCTGCTTGAATGTTGATGTGAAGGTCGTGGGATCGAAGCTTGGCCGCGGCTGCCGCCTTTCAGTGGAGTCAACGTGCTACAGGCTCATGTGCTTTGATTCCGGCGCACGGAAGCCGAGGCCACCAACATTTCCGTAAACATTTACCAAGACGTCTCTAACAATGTCGTTTTGGGACAGAAAACCCGGACAATACAATGAAGCAGATAATTAGGCAATGTAAAGATACAAGAAATAACTTTTCCGTGTTCACACGGACTCATGGCTTACAAAGAAGGTTGTGAAGCTTACACTAGTACAAAACCCCAACGTCATTTCTTAAACGTTTGACCATTGCACGTCATTTGCTCAATTTTCAACAATGGTGACAGTATTAAACAAGTTCTTTAGATATCTTGCAATTCTGATGAACAATGCTTGCGGGAAGTCTAGGCAGCGATGTATTCTAGACATTCCCACCCAGACACCCCATAGAACTAATTGTATGCACGTCGATCTGAACTAGTAGGCGTTATGGTGATCCCTAGGGTGCTGTGATAGAGTGATCAAGCCGGCCAGCCATCGCTTTCGACAGTGAAGTTTTCTCCCTTTGAAGGTTGTGAAAGAGAAGGACTACAAATCTGTTCCCTGCCACTTTCTTGTCGCTGTGGTACCCAACACATTTAAGACTATCCGGTCTGAAAGGGACATGTACTAATGAATGAGATTTGCTAAGAAGTTGCTCAAATAAGAAGAGGGCCCCCAATAACATCTGTGCAAAAGGTATTACAAGCCTTCAAGTTCAGTGTCAATCAATTTAGGCTGATAGGCGTTTATTCTGGCATGTTTAGGAATTTTGCCGAAGCGTCGCTCTCAAAACTGCAATGCGTCGGCGTTCTCAGCCTCAGCGCCAAAAACAACGCCTGATCAAAGTGAATCGAGTGCTTCAGCCACGTTTTCACTTCAGAGACATTATCACACTCTGCCTCTGATAACCACGTTATCTCTTGTTATACGATATACGTATGCTGTTTGTCAGGTTGCTATCTCTAGGAAGGATCTGTACGCTCTCAACTTAAATGCTTTTCTTCCTTCAGTATGAATGATATAGGTTAATCAGGAAATGAGGAGTTCGTTGTTTTTGCCGAACTATTGCTTACGGAAGCATCATTATCCTCGTCAATATTACTATTATCATCACCATAGTGATCAATTCTACTTTACGAGCACTGCATGTCGAAGGCGTTTCCACGTGATCTTCCATTGAGTCTCACTTATATCATGTGATTACAAGATCTGCTTGAAAAGTTTTCGATGTCTTTATGTTATCTACTAATATTGTCCCAGTCATTCCAAAGCTGCGTTGCTACCAAAAAGATGGTCTCTCGAGTAGAACTGAAGATTTCTTTCACAGCAATGGCAGCATTACTCATTTTCAATGACAAGAGGCCCACAAGGAATTCCCCAAGAATATGTCGGTAACACCGCTTTACAGCGAAAGCAATAGGCAAACAAGCAGTCAAAAAGGGCTTACAGCTCACGGAACATGGGTGGTGAGGTTTAGGGGCGAAGCTCCCTAGAGCGTGGGTCTGTCCATCCCCCGTCGTTGTCGTACGTAGCTACCGGGATGCGAGATGGGAGATGACGGTACTTGGAGTGTTCACTAGATGGACGCACGGACGGACGCATGGACAGACAGACAGACAGACAGACAGACAGACAGACAGACAGACAGACAGACAGACAGACAGACAGACAGACAGACAGACAGACTACAAGATGGACGGACGGATAGATGGACATGTTAAGTGGGTATGTGCCACAGGGGATGCGAGGTGGCGGTACTTGGAGTGTTCCCTAGATGGACGTACTGACGGACTGACTAGAAGACGGACGGACATATGGACGGAGCCGCGGACGTACAGATGGATGGATGCATGGATGGTCACGTGGACGGACGGAAGCAAGAATGAACGGACGGACGGAAGCACGGATGGGCTTACAGACGCTTTGTCCCACTCATCATCATTCACTCCATCAATATGCTGTGATTTTTTTCTTCTTGATTCAGGCGTCACTGGTAAGTTACACATTAATGCCGCTCGCCATGCAGCTTCCTGCAAAAGAGGCCTTTTTAACTTACCATAGTCACTGGGTTCAGCTTGTACACTGTGGCTTTGGCTTCATACTCGGGGTTTACGACATCCTATAAGGAAATAAACGGACCAAAGTGGTCTTATTATAACTCAAGAAATAAAAATTAAATCAACTAAAAATGTTGTTTTCTGTGATGTTTCTTTGGTTTGTCTGTATTTACTTTGATGAATAACTTTTAGATTTTATATGTATAAATATTCCTCAGAGGCATTGTGTAAGGTCTCCAGTTAAGGGAGGTTAGTGAAAACAAATTGAATATATAGGCTGCTGTTGCGTACGTTATACGATATCAATATCATTGCTTGGCTGGAGACAGGACAAGAAGAGGATACGCGACGAAATTGAACAGTAGAGTGAAGGGAACGTTTATATTACAAAAAAGCTGTAAAATGATACTAAGCGTCAAAAAATACCAGTAATACCTGTGTACCATCACTGAGCAAGCAGGTTATTCAACTGACAGCATAGAGTATGGGTGAAGCTTTTGCGTTATACTTGGATGCAATCTCATTAGGAAGGCAAGTTTATGGACAGATGAAGTGAAAGCGCAGGTTATATGTGTTGCAGAGATATTTATTCACGGTTCTGCATTGACGTTTATTGCGACAGGGGTTCAGTATTGTGACAGGTGCATCAGTAAAAACGAAAATACACGAACCATAAAAGCGCTGTTTATATGTCACGTGTACACGCAAAAATAGTTATATGTACATTTATTTCATTATTTACTTATTTATCTATATTTTGCAAACTCATTGCCACCATTTATTATGCAGTGGATTGTGTAAGCGATGCTCCTGAGTAGCAGGAACGTTTCAGATTGTTTACAGAATATATATTTCTGCTCTACAAAAGTTGTCGGTTACCACACACTCTTGTTATGAAATACAATAAAAAATCTAACATTGTACCAAAGCTTTTAGTGCCAGTGATTTGTTGAGTGCTGTTTTATTCTTTTTTTATAATCTTCGATACGTACTTGAGCCGACTGCCGTCCCGGTATGCGTGGAAGATAAGGAAGAGTGTACTGCTGAAATCGGGTGAAAGGCGAAGAAGAAAAAAACAAGCAAGAACAAAGCAACATAACGCATACAATTAGAAATATTACTTATCTGAATATTTTTATGGCGACAGAAATTCTACTTGCGTTGAAGCTTTTTAACTGCTATTCAATGCTATCATATAAAGTTCATTAAGGCACCTATATAGCATCATTATTGCAGCTGCACAACACTCAATTTCTCTTTTTTGCGCTCAACATTTATGCTTATCTTTTGTGGTGCAATGTTTCTAGATAATTGAAATAAATCACGGCTACCTTACTTTACGGTCCTACTGCCTTATTACTATCTCATTACAGGTTCCCTATTGTGGTCAAGACCGAAATTTCTGCATCATAATGAATAGATACGCACGAGTGTGGAAACACCCAAAAAACAATTGGCGATTTCTTTCTCAAATGAGGGGAGAGACAAGACAGAAAAAGTGGGAAAGAGAAAAAGTATGAAGAAAAGAAAGATGAAATAAAAGGAAAAGCCGAAAAGAAGAAAAAAAAAAAGGCTTTCAAACTTCGTGACTTCTTCAGGCTTGGCATTACATGTGTGGATATTGTTAGATGTGGGAAGGAAGGTCGCTCGCTGATGGCATCCCACCGCTGCCACCAGTTGTTAGAGATGGGAAGGAAGAAGCTGCATGTGATGGCATCCGGGTGGAGGAACTGAACGCTGACAAGAGGATACAAGAAACATAACAGATGTTTATGACATTATTTACACATATTTACATAACAGAAAGGGATAGTGGTTTCACAAACCACGAGCGTGGTGGTTGAACACTACATCGTTCAGAGCCAGGTTCAGAGAGCGCAATGTCCAGCACTCTCCGCGTCGTTTTATGCCCTGTCGGGCTCCTCCTCTCAGAGTCGAACACCAATCACGCACACACAGGTGAGGGAGGCGAGCATACAAGGTCCACGTGAACACTGCACGGTGGTGGCGCCAGCAGGGCTCTTCCGCGTCGTGGGTGTGCCGCTACTCGAGAGTTCCCCCGATCCTGGCAGCATACTTCGAAGGGTCCGCCGATTTTGTTCGCTCAATTAGCGAGGTAATTTGCGGTGGCCGTTGGTCTCCTCCAGGAAGGTGCTGTCTCTGTTGGCCTCTTTCGAATGGTTAGCGGCGTCTTGGCGACATGACGTCTCGCCCTCCGGCTAGCACGTACAATGCCTGACGAGCATAGGCAGTCGACCGGTCGGCTTGGTGATTGGGGATCAAAAGGGAGCGCCGCTCCTCTGTCAGCTCCGGCGCCGGCCACGCCAGCCCTCCTGTCGCCCGACGAGTCGATGAGGCCATCAGTCACGCTGCTGCTCGAAGGGACGACCAAAGGGTCCGCACTTGAAGGACGGGACTCGCCTCTGCCCGCCGCCTGGTCTGGATAATCACTCAAACACGGACAGCGTCCGTCAGACCGGGCGCCGAAGGGATTAAGAGACGAATCCCCAGGCCAAACCTAACAGCTCCTCCGCCGCCCGAAAAATCTCGGCTGGCCAGCGCTCCCAACCGCTGGGCACGAAGAGAATGGGTGGTGACGAGGACGATGGCCTGGCTTTCTCCCTCCAGCTGCGTACTCGAAACCAACTCCCAAACCCGCTCACAAAGGCCGACAACAGCAAGGCGAACCACACAACACAATACCATGCCGCAGTCAAGCACATTGGACCCGCTTACAACCCTCCAGGCTTCTCGAAACACAAACAAAAGAGAAACCTGTACGCTAAAATTTTGAAACAATTTTGTGCCGTCAAAGTTACAACAATCATGGATGTGGAGATGCTTACTAAAGATGGAACAAATTGCCGTGTGAGAAAAGCACACAAAGGCAAACACAATTTGGCCCCATATAACCGTAATTCCAATTTTACAAAACTAGCTTTCTCCTACCACCCGCACTACTAAGTTGTAACTGACATTTAATTTCATGACTAACATCATGAAATACCACTACCTAAATTACACGCAAATGCAGCCCGAACCCACGAAAGATAATTGTGCGCATCCTTCATTCTCTAATACTTAACGTAGTCGTGAGTGCCTACTTTTCTGACACCCTGACGCCAACAAAACTCTCTCACATCAAATCAAACTGCGTCTTATCAATCCTAGAAAGGTATCTAGCCTCAAATTTTGGAGAACGCCACGCTCTCACCTCAAGTGATCATTTGATCCCTATAAGTCATCAGTAAAACAAAAATGAAGTAAACCTGGTGTACTAACACGCTCATTTGCTGGATGTAGTTTCATGTCAGCCCATGTTTTTAGAGAACGCACATGACTTTGCTGTGCGCTCTAGCACGACATCATACTATCATCCAAAGAACGCTAGCACACCAACACGCACCTAACCATAGGCGATATCTCTCTCACCTAGGTATCTTTAAACCCGCATTTGAACGTGAATTTTCTCAAGATATTGAACTGTGTAAATCCTTAAAACGCATCTCTAATCTCAACGTTCGATATAACATAACGCTCAGGTAAAGAATTTCACTTGATTCCTGAGCACATACTAAAATAACAAAGGTAAATGCAACTCGTGTACTAACACGCTCCTTTGCTGGATGTAGTTTCATGTCAGCCCATGTTTTTAAAGAACGCCCATTGCTGTGCGCCCTAGCACGACATCATACTCTCATCCAAAGAGCGTCAGCACACCAATCGCACACCTAACCATAGGCCATTTCCCTGCAACTCAACTAAAAACATTTACAATGCCCTTAGAAAATCTAGAAGGGAAAACTGTATCCAAACAAACTAGCCTGGGAGAGGACAAAGGAGTATTACTTCAAAACCAATAATAATCAAAAAGCATGCTACTAAGAACACTCCCCTGTTCACTCACCAGCTTACAGTTGTCCCTCCCTTCAATCGCACTCGTGGCGGTCGAGGACTTGGCGGATTTCGAGGGCGCCCGAGGCAAAGTCGCGTAAGTGCTACAAGCTGAACGGCAGCGCTACGCCTCATTTGCGATTTCGGCCGTCCGCTGTCAATCCGGCGGAGGGAACCCGAGCAATGCAAGGGAAAGAGCGACGGGGTCCTATTTGGTCTAGCCGAGCGGTATTTAGCTATTGTGGTCTTTCTTCTAGGACCACGTCGACACTCTTTTCCATGAAAAGCCCTAAATCTCCACTGCGCATACCGTCTCGCGAATGCGCGCTGTGGTTTACCCTTTCGCTGCTGGCGCCTTACTTCCCGCCACAAAGGCCTCTTCGCTGAACTGGCCCATGAGCCACCCTCTTTCCTTTTTCCCCGATGCTTGCTTCCTCCTTTGTGCCTTCGCTTTGTCGCGCGCGTACCCTTCACCTGTTTACGGCGACGCTTGCGACCCGTTTTCTCACAACTAGGAAGTTCCCCTCGGGTTGCGTCATCGGCTGCTCTACAGCTCGAGGGTTCTTCTGTACCACCTGCTACACTATTTTGCCAGTTCGATTTCCTAGCACTGGTGCCATGTCGGGCCGATTCATTTGTCTTAACTTTGCACTCACGCACCCAACTAACCTGGCGCCTCCCATTTGATTTCATTTGCGATGGACCCGCTGATCCCTTTTCTTTCGTCCGGCAGTTCAGACGTATACAAATTAACTTTGACGCAGACGCAAAATGCCTAGTCCTGCTTGCGGCGCTAATAGGCTTCAAACTTTTCTGAACATGCGTAGAGCTGCTTGTCTCACTCGCGACTTTGCGACGTCTCTTGCGTCTGCGCCGCTTCCTTCGACTCGTCTCTGAGCCTACCGCTCGCAGCTCAAGGTCGCTAACACTCTCACTGCACTCGTCAGCTGTCGACGCCGCTCCGTCTAGATGATTTTCGAAAAAACCACCTATTTCACACTCTAGATCGGCGGACCGCTTGACGCTCTTAGGAACAGTGCAGCTGCCTTCCCTCAAACTTTCTAGCTCGCATTGCTGGGAGCTGTCTGCGACTGCACTGATATCCCCGCTACCTACTTTCGCTGCTTCTGAGCTTTCTTCGGTGTTCTTGATTACTTCCACATTGTTTGCAAGATCCACCGTCGCGACAAACACAGTTGAGGTCTGTACCAGCTTTTCTACAGCTATCTTGGCTGTTTCACTAACAGTTAACTGGCACAGCACCTCGTCGCACTCGCTCTGACCTTTAGTGGCCTCTCTCATGAGAGTAGCATCTTTCGAAGCTCTCGCAATTGGTTCATCTTCGAACCTGCTGCGCTCTTCACACGTGCTCGCCTTCTCTAAAGTTCTGGGCTGCACCTCCCTTATTAGATCCTCGCACTTCTCGTGCGCTACTGTTGCGGATGGCTGAATCTTCCACCGCCTTGCCTCGACTTTTTCTTCCGACAGTTTAATCCCTAGGCTGAGTGCCCGCTCACGCTCGTCACCTCGCTCCCGTTTTTCTATCTCCCATTTCCGCTCACTAACTACCTTGGTGCTATAAGAGACACGCGGACCTCTCTCAGGCTTGGTTTTACTACCAGCACAACGTCGCGCGTTCTTCACGGGAGCGTTCGTGAGCTTGTACTCTACTCGCTTTCTGTCAACTCTGATGCCGAAGCACCGCAGTAAAGCTGCCTTAGCTACATCGTACCTTTTGAACTGTTCCTCAGAAAGGTATAGTAACCTACCCATCAAGCTGCACGGAAGGACACTCGATAAGGCGAAAGACCAATAGTCCTCGTCGAGCTCTAGTTCTCTGCAAACTTTCTCGTAAGAGGTTAGATAACTCTCTAAATCCTCGCCCACTTCGAATGCATGGATCCTAGAATTTACCTGAGACCATCGAAAGCACTGTATTGATCTTCTTCTCTCTTCCTGTTTTAATTTCAGGCTTTCCTCCCACTGCTCTCTCTCTTTCTGTCGTTCCAATCTTTCTTTTTCTTCTCTTTCTTTTCTATCCCTGTTTTCCTTTTCCTTTCTTTCCTGTTCCTTTCGTTTCCGTTCCTCTCGTTCGCGTTCCTCTCGCTCCCGTTTCTCCTTTTCCTGTTTTTCAAAAATTTCTACTGCGTTTTGAATCTCGTCCTCACTGGCTTTTTGCGCGATCAGCATCCAAATCGCTGTCCTACCCATTCCTTCCTCTATTTCAATGCCTAGATGCTTACCCACACACAAAAGTTCATCTCTTAGCATTGCCTTCCACGACATGATTGCCGTTGTACTTTGGTCCTGCATCTCACACATAATTAGGGGATCCCTACTACTCAAAACTCACAAACAGTAATCTCCCTAACCCACACACAATCCAGCTTCTATCAACTCGCACTCATAAAATGAAGCCTGGAAAGTCAAAGCAAAGACCAAGCACTCACCACAGCACAGCACCATGCCGTGAAGTCCATCTCACCGCTGCCAACCAGTTGTTAGATGTGGGAAGGAAGGTCGCTCGCTGATGGCATCCCACCGCTGCCACCAGTTGTTAGAGATGGGAAGGAAGAAGCTGCATGTGATGGCATCCGGGTGGAGGAACTGAACGCTGACAAGAGGATACGAGAAACATAACAGATGTTTATGACATTATTTACACATATTTACATAACAGAAAGGGATAGTGGTTTCACAAACCACGAGCGTGGTGGTTGAACACTACATCGTTCAGAGCCAGGTTCAGAGAGCGCAATGTCCAGCACTCTCCGCGTCGTTTTATGCCCTGTCGGGCTCCTCCTCTCAGAGTCGAACACCAATCACGCACACACAGGTGAGGGAGGCGAGCATACAAGGTCCACGTGAACACTGCACGGTGGTGGCGCCAGCGGGGCTCTTCCGCGTCGTGGGTGTGCCGCTACTCGAGAGTTCCCCGATCCTGGCAGCATACTTCGAAGGGTCCGCCGATTTTGTTCGCTCAATTAGCGAGGTAATTTGCGGTGGCCGTTGGTCTCCTCCAGGAAGGTGCTGTCTCTGTTGGCCTCTTTCGAATGGTTAGCGGCGTCTTGGCGACATGACGTCTCGCCCTCCGGCTAGCACGTACAATGCCTGACGAGCATAGGCAGTCGACCGGTCGGCTTGGTGATTGGGGATCAAAAGGGAGCGCCGCTCCTCTGTCAGCTCCGGCGCCGGCCACGCCAGCCCTCCTGTCGCCCGACGAGTCGATGAGGCCATCAGTCACGCTGCTGCTCGAAGGGACGACCAAAGGGTCCGCACTTGAAGGACGGGACTCGCCTCTGCCCGCCGCCTGGTCTGGATAATCACTCAAACACGGACAGCGTCCGTCAGACCGGGCGCCGAAGGGATTAAGAGACGAATCCCCAGGCCAAACCTAACAATATGCCTTAGTTTTCTTTGTTGTTTTTTGTGCCAATCGCATTGTGGTACAATGACATACAGTTTTACTTTTTATATTCTCTTGTTGCGCATACAATTCTTTGTAAAATGCACTTGATATCTTCTTCAGTGTTTCCAGCCGATGCCTTCTACCCATTAGGAAACCAGGTGTCGAGGGGCCAGTGAAAACTCCAGCAAGTTCAACAACGGCAACAACACACCCAACCGTGTTCATGATATATTTCTCGTGGATAATGAATAACATGTCCGGCAGACAACAATGGCCACGTGGTAAAGTCCGTTTCCCTTTCTTGACTCTTCCGCCACATTGCAGGTTTCCGTAGAGCTCATTTGCATTACTTGCGCCCATGTGTTTTAAGTTGCGAATGAGTTCAACCTCAGACTGCCAATTTCTAGCTTCGTAGTTAGTAACTAACTGAAAAAGTGACTGCCCCACAAAGGTGTTGGTCTCCGGTTTGAACCCCGCATCGGGACGAATATATCTCAACTACGAAGCCATTCTTTCTGAGAAATCTGTGCGGATCTCATTGTGCCTTCGTGCCACCAACGGGTGGTTGTATGTTTCTCCTTTCGTAACCCTTAAACTTTGTGGGCCTCCGCTGAACTGATTTGCAAAGATTGAGCATATCTTGTTTCGGCGCACTCACATTCCACGCTTCATGTTTACTTGTGCCTATAATTAGGCACATATTATACTCAGAGAAACAGTAGAAAGCCAAACCCCACACAATGCTAAATCACGTGAAGCACCCATGCGTACGTGGTGTCAAATGGTGCAGTTTAAGAAGAAATGAAGTATTCGGGGAGCAGCTCTGCTACACAAAAGTAATCGTCACCTGACTTGGTCACGTTTCGTTTTTTGAAAACCCGGCGCTGGCCACATTCTTGTCGGGAATGCCATGTCGCACTGATAACGCCTGGGCCATTTGCGGCCGTGAATTACCGGAACCATTGTGATAGCGCGAGGAAAGTACTCGATGTATACATGATGATTAATACTGTGTAGCAAAAACACCCCCTGAATACTCAATTTTTTATTAGAGTGTAAGTCGTATTCCAGAAAATTGTGGGCTCATTAACTGAGTTAGTGCCTGTGTAGTACTTACCGTGAGTGTGTCGATATCGGCGAGGTTCCATTCCCAACCGAGGACGCATTGGCGCCTTTTCCAGAGCTCAATGAAAATGGTGGCTGCAGACACCGTCGGAAGTCAGCTCAATGTATTTACAGAAGAGTGTCAACTTTCCGCGAGGATTATCACAGAACTGGGAGAAATAAAAATATGATACAGGCAAGATAATGCAAAGCCTATGTACATGGAAGAGTACACACAAGAATAGGGATCCCACTCGAGTTATGAGATCCACCAGAGATGGAAATATGAGTTATGAGAGTTATGAGTGTGCAAGCACCAAAAAGAGGGGGTGGGTAATAATGCATAATATACAAGTATGAACCCACCGATCAATAGATCAATCAATCAACGAATCAGTCAATTCATCACTAAATCAAGCAATCAATCGATCATTCGACCAATAAGTGCAACTGTATTTGCATAATAAAATGAGAAAAATACAAGGATTATTTGGACCGATAGCCCAAAGTGGCTATGGATACGTAACAAGACATTTCTTACAAAATCAAAAAGAAGGAATAGGAAAAACAAAACTCTCAAATGTAAATGCTTTCAGCTGTACGCTTTATCATCAGGAGTTCAGGACCACCCGCCTGATATTTTCAATTAGTTTTAGGACCTTACCAGTGTTGTCTCTGCTATAGCGAAAAGACGAGTGCATTTTATTCCCTTATGACACGAGGCAAAAATGAAAAATACAGATACCATGGTTATTGCAGAAGTAATCTATAAACATTACGTCTGCTTTTTGTCGCACCTTTTCTGTTTCTTTTGTGAAATGAAGACTGGCGTTATAGCTTTATTATTTTTGCAAAATAGTTATAATAGGCGTTCGCTCTATTACTGATAAATGCCGAACTGAAATATTAGCGATTGGTCAGAAGATTTATTAATAAGTACAAATAATCATGTTGTGACTGCATTATCTGCATGAGCAGGTGAAAGTAACGTGACGAGTCATTCAGAATTCATGATAAGCTATTTCCCTCCAACCATCGAAAGCATAATGATTGCTTTGTAAAGCACGCAAACAAAACCGACTTGAACTACAACCACTGTTACCCCTTGAGTCTACCAATCGCGTATACTAGGGAAAGGCAATAAGAAAATGTCAAGACAGGGCAGACTAAACCACGTTTCTCCGAATTTGTTTTCACGGTAGCGTCTAAAGTCGAGATGACATCACTCGGCTCATTTAGTGTAAACTTGACCTCTCACTTTAGGAAGCTGTCCCATGTAATTATGTCATGTTCGCATTTAATCTGTCGAGCAGTGTGTATTATGACGCACACAATATGCCCCAATAAATTAATGGCTAGTAAACTGCACACGCAAGACTACCAGGTCAGAACAGGCAATTTATGTCCCACATGCCATAAGTTGTAAAAAGTGTTCAAATGAAATATCTTTTTGTGCCATTTGAGTAAAACACTAAGCTGTAAGCAGTATATGAATAAATATGTCAGCACGCAAAAAGTAAATTGGAGGCAATATGCTGAAAAGCACCTGTCCTGTCTCTCACATGTGTTTGTTTTTTAGCACTAAAGTCAACATGTTATGTAATTACTAACTCACTCAACAACAAGTTCTCATTATGCAGAAAAGGTTTACCCCAAGCATGCAGTATATGTTACTGCTCACTGGGTGATTCATTAGGAAAGAGCGCACAGGTGGGGACAACAAAAGAAACAAAAACAAAAAGAAAAGAGAAGAAACATACACGATGCATGCGCTCGAAGCAAAAAAAAAAGCAGACGGCGTCAACGTATCATTTCAGACACTTATTAGGAAAACATGCGGCAGACGAGGTCCTTACCCCAAAGTGCCATGAATATGGAAAATCCAACGGTGGCCGGGTTATCAAACATGTACACGATCTGCAGTAGAGATGGCAGAGGTAAGCACTTACTCGTGTGACCCCTACTCGTGGCCTAAATGAGACATTCTGACATTAAACCTTTATTGCACACAAAAGGCAATGCTCGGTTTGTGTACTTATTAAGATGATGCTTGGATGAACCACCACAGCGTAAGCTATTGAACTGCACTTCCTCATGTGAATTGAATTAATTTGTCACTCACTAGCGAAAACTAAACAAACATACCTTCTTTGCATCTTTTCGAGTAGACAAACAGAAACTGTTGTTACTTAAAGTCAAGAATGATTTCTACCAACTGTGTGCCGAAGACAATGAGGTCGCGGATATTCGGCACCATTTCTTTTAATGCAAGCGTTTTTGCTGTGGAGGAGAGACATTAACGGACAGTATGAAGAAAAGAGGGTACCCCAACAGATGTTGTAAAGACGTCGTGTTTCCGGCAGGTGCGCGGTTAAGGTGTGCGGTGCGGTGCGGTAAGTGACTATAACATACTCTTACAGTTTCTGCGAGAAACAAAATTAGGCCACGTGTAATGAGCCGCACTTCATGCAAAGAGTCACTCAGGTGGAGCGATTCTCAGTCAGGTCTGGCAGGCTAACCTCGCCTGTGGGAATATCACCACGACCACCACCCAACGAAAACTGTCGTGACAGGAGTTTCTATCTCCATACACCTAGAAGCAGAGGTTCTTTTTGCTCAAAATAAACAGCATTCAATTTGTATTAGCTGATGGCGTGTGTAAAAAAAGGAAGCATTAAAAATCTTAGCAGCAATTCTTTAGTTAGTTTACGATTTTTATCAAAATGGTGTGAATGCTAAAACTAGTGAGCGAAATAGGGCAATCCCAGGAGTTCAATATTTTGTAAGGTACAATGTGCTGAATCGAAAGAAAATGAAGGCAGAACAAATACAGGGCGTCTCATTAATTTCGTTGAACTTTAACACGGAAGCACACAATTCACCATAGTTGTTACAACGACCATTTGTACAATAGATTGGATGGTTCATAAGCAGACGTGTATTGCCATTCAACTGCGTGCTCAGCTTCAACAGGTCTCTTGCTTATGCTGGGAAAGAAGACACGATTAACGCAGTATTTCATCGAGTCCTCAAACCCGAAGCAGATTCTGGAGAATGTGCCAGCGAAGAAACTGGGTGGTCATATAACTAGCCTTGCTGAATGTGCACTTGGTGTAAAGGTAGTCGTATGTACAGCGCTTCTTGCAGCCTGGACAGAGGACGAAGCTTCCGGCAATGTTGGGGTCACAGGTCTCGGCCCTAAAAACAAAAAAGAACAAAAAAGTAAATGTGTTTCCATAGTACATCAGTATGTATAAGCAAAAACAAAAAGCTAAGTGAGCAGTAGTTGTTCGCTGACACATTGGAACCAATAAGGATTCACATCTGTTCTAGGGCGGCCCCTGGAGGCCTGGCATGGGCCAGGAATTTATCGCTTCTCGTTTACTGAAGTTTATCACCTACATACTCGGCCGAGTATATGAGGAAGGGGAATAAATGCACTGCACGACAATAGATAGCGTAACGATAGAAAATGAAACAGGATACAGGGCTTCTTGTGATTCTAGCATGGTAACGAGCGTTCAATAGGATGTGAAAACAGCTGCAGCACGTGACTAAACAAAGGCGGCGAAAATTCATTGTGAGTCATTTTGTGAGAAGCCTCTTTCCACCTAAATTTAACAATAGAAAACTCATTTTAAGAAGTATTCGCATAATATGATACTTCCAGCTGTTATTAGAATTGACTTTCGTCAATCACTGCGTCCATCTCACTTGATAGACTATTTATCTCTGTTGTTCTCTAACCATAATTGAAAATCATTGCCGACGTACTTAGTACATTAAATTATAAATGCTTCTAAGAGAGACGTGTGAGAACAATAGAGTAATAATACGAGATGGGAGAGTGAAGGTTACACTTCCGCATTGCAGACGTGCTCCCTAACAAGCACTGAACATCAAATTCGAACATCAAGCTTGAAGAGACGTTAATATAAGAAGCCTTGATTTATCATCACATTTCGTGGGAGAGTTCTTTTAGGCAATGCGTCTGAACGGTATTACGCACCCTGATGCACAATCTCGTTTGCTAACATTTTCGCATGTATTGCTTAGAGCTGACCCAACTCTGGAACTCAACTTTCTAGAGCTCAGCAAAATTTTTAATGTTTTGAAGTTTTCAAGAAAAAACCAAGTGCGACTGCACTCACACGCTTAACTGCCCCATAGCAGGGGCTAACTAGCGACTAAATGTCTCCGTCACTAGCAAATGTCATTAAGAAATATTATCCTGTAGTAAACTGTAAGTGGTACATGATTAAAGATATTGAACCATCAGAGAGTTTACTCGAATGATTGTGCTATTGCTGTTACCCTTTTGGCAGAAATAGCGCAAATAATATTGGTACCACAGCAATGATATTGGTACGCCCGTGTGGCATAGCGATACTTCGGATGAAGTGCAGGACGGCAAAAGTAGATTGGCGGGAGCTGCTCGCATCGGAAGCGCTGCTCGCCTTACAAGTCGCAAATACACTCCATCTGCTCCGGAGGCTCCGGTGAACATGTGAGCTCCTAATGTAACTTTCGTAGCTCATGGTACGGGATATACGCTCTCCCATAGTAGTGTACGTAATACACCAAATCATTACCCCCTTTATCTAAACACAAACACGCAATTGCTACAAGTCGGTGTCTTTCCCGTGGTAATATCATGGTGTGTACTCGCATGCAACCGGTGTAACACATTACTCACGTAGGCGTGTTTGTGGCCATTTCAAATATTCCGTATAAAGTTGTCATAACTCCCACCACAGCCGGTAGGAACAGCATCGACGTGTAGAAGCCCAGCCAGGCGAAGTAGAGGCCGGTCTTCTCGCCGAAGTAGCGCCTACGAGGGATGCATTCGAAGTTGGAGAACTGTTCTCCCGTCTTACGCATACTCAAATATAGAGTTTTATTTGTTAAATCGAAGCCTATTAAAGCACTGTTTGATCCGGTGTGCGGCGTGACCATCCTTACTGCGCATGCGTGACCCTTCCTCCTCTCTCTCCTCTCTCCTCTTTCGCCTCGACACGCCGACGCAAACTGTGTCTGCTAGCCTAAGCTCGCTCCCCTACTCTCTCTTCTAGACATTCCTCCCCGAAGTGTTTATACTCCCATTGTGCATGCGCGTCCCCTTTCTATCTCCGCTCCTACGCCTCACCCCTTCACGTCACAACGCTGACGCAGGCAGCATCTGCTAGTCAGTTTCTTGACTGCACCGAAAATCGACGGCTCGCGCTGCACAACCGTTCACTGCCTACACCGCACTGGATCTTGACCTCCGTGATAGCGCCAGTGCTGTATTTCTCCTGTGCGCTGTCGAACAAGAAACCTTCGTAGCGTGCGCGTTCATTAAATGCTGACTGCGGGTCTCTGTGTCCAGTCGGCGTTGTCTGTCTCTCATTGCCCATTAGCTGCGATTGGCATGTTCCAGTAGAAAATACTGGTCCACCACTGCATGCTTTGCGCATCTCCAGCTTTCTTTCCTGCAAAACGCTGCGATGTGCGCCAGCGTCAACGCCACCGCCAGTGTAAGCGTCAGCGCCAGCTGCTTCGCATCTAGGCATGATTCCCTTTAGCGGGAAACGGTGTAATTTTTTTTCTGTTTTAGGCATACGCAGCTCCACGTTTTCAGCATGATGCACGATGTTGTGTTAACAAACACAATAAAAAAAGGCACGTAAGCCACCCAGACATTACTTGACACGCTATCCGTAGCAGTGTACATGATTCACTTTTCGTGATACTGAACGTGCGCATCCGAAAGCGAACTGCGAAAATTTGACTGGAACCCCTCGCTCTTGCTGTTATTTTTAATTTGTCCAGTCAGGCTATCGTATGCTACCTCTGGTAGCTTGGCGTAATGCAGGCAGAACCACGAATACTGTATCCATGTGTAGCATAGTGCACACGCGCGCGAGCTAAGGAGATTTCTTGCTGTTCCTCGAGCACCTCAAAAATGACCAGAGCAGAGCACTTTAGGGACGTGGGCTGCCCTAAAAATGAAAACACAAAGAGGGAGCAAGCAAAAAAGAAAGAGAAAAAGAAAGAAAGAAAGAAAATAAACGTAAAAAGTTGAAAGGAGAAATATAATGGAAGAAACGCAGTTTGATTCATTTATTGATTCATTTACAACAATAATATTGTGGGATACCTGAGGGAAAAAAAGCTATCACTCAGCTGGAGGTTGTCCTAGCCCCCCTACTTGTATTGCAGCCTACGTGGTAGTATCTAACAGCAAATAAATAAATAAATGAATCAATAAAATTTCCATTTAGTAGATTGCTCATGGCTCTCCTGGATTCAAGAAAGAAACGTGCTTCCGTAGACAAAAAGACAGAGGAAGAAGTAACCAGAAATAGAGAGAGAGAAAAAGAAAAAGAAAACTAAAGAACAGTAAAAAAAAAAGAGAGAAACCAAGGAGAGACAATGAAGGCTGACCAGTTACAGACTTTCAGACTTTCAGACCAGACTTTCAGCCTTGGCACCTATAGTGTGAAATTGCCTTAATTTTTTTTATTTTAGCACTCGTTCTAAATGAAATATAGTATGCAATAATCGCCATTTGTCCTCTATTTACTAATGTGTTTTAGTTGTCTGGTTGATGCTAACACAGCTTGACCAGCAGGTTTAACAGCTGTTTGACTTGATAATGTAATAATTATTTGTATGCCAAAATCGAAAGCATTCGCTCCATAATCGTGGTCTTCAGTAATTTGTGCATCCCTCTTCCGAAAATGTTGCAATGAAAACTTGTGATTCACCTCAGTGACTGAACCAACTGACGAATGAGTGAACGAACGAAGGAATGCGGTGCCCACAATTAGCCTTCAGAACCGAGCTCAAATGTGTAAGTCTTAATTTTTTTACGCTTCGCGCGGCGTTGCTAGGTAGCACCTGCGAAACTCTACTAAAGTTAAACTTTAAGCGTGAAGTAAGACGCTTTCTAAACGTGATATGAGCTGAAAGTGTGTGAGTATTCGCACGCTCTTGGTTACGCTATCGTAACAAACGCGCAATATTCTCCCCCCTAATTTTCTGTCTCAATAACACAGAATTACCGAGTTCGAAAGGCACCTTTCACGAAGTACCTGTCAAAACACGGGTCACATTTACGCAAAAAATCGTTGTTGAAATGCTATAAATGTAAATGAGGCGTTAATTGCTATCACATTGGGTGCGCTGCAATAATACAAAATGTATGTGTATCCCTTTACGGTGGGTTCTGACGTCCCACTTATATAGCTGTCTTAAAGAGACACGTTAACTCTCTTTTGCGTCACACTACTTTTCATTGATCTTTAAAAACAGACCACCTGTCTTTATAAAAAGATTCACCACATACGTGATCGATTGATATGTGGGGTTTAACGTCCCAAAACCACTATATGACGATGAGAGATGCTGTAGTGGAGAGCTCCAAGAATTATGACCACCTGGGATTCTTTAACGTTAGGTTTAACAATAAAAAGACAGAGCACTAATTTTAGGTGAAACTGAATTGTCTGGCGGTCATCACACTATATTTCATTGAGGTTTATCTGACTTGACTGTGAACACTGATAAGCGGATGTGATGCGAACACCATGTACGAAATAAGTTAGGTCCCTTAAGCAGTAACCTCCAGCACCAACCTGATGAGGACCAGCGGCTGCTGCTTGTACCAAGATGCCGGTCGAGCCCACTCGCTGTAAAGTAGCTGTAGCACCATGCAAAATGATATAAAATTCAGATCTCTATTCAGAGGAAGTTTTCTACTTGATACGACCCAAAAACAGGTAACTAAGTTGATATAAGAGCAATTCAGACTGAAAAACAAACCAACCCTTCGTTCTGTGGGAATTTCTGTAAGAGAGTCGAACGGTCCACTGCCACATGGACCCTGCAAACAGGCGAGCCAAACAATCCAAAGTGAGTCTGAGTTGCATTATAGTAGGGCGGAATTTTAATCCCAGTGCTTACACAGAAATATTCAACTAAAAATAAAAGATAAAACTCTGAGTTAGGGTACGTTGTCACAAAAGAAATGGCGCCGCTGTGCACTCAGATTATGCATGCCTTTTAACCAAACGCCTCCAAACTTGCGGTATTGTGTGATGCAAGGTTAATACGGTAGGGATACTGAAGGTACGCCCTGAATTTCATCGATGAGCATAGACAGAGTTACGTGCGTTAAATCTGCCTAAAGCAGATTTATGTAAATTAGTACTACCAACTCCTATAAAAAAAGCAAACCTGAAGCATTCTTGCGGGTTGTGATGGGCCTATAAAAATCATCCTTTGCAATGAGTGGCCACATGGCATCGGAATCAAAATTTTACTATTAAAATTACGATCATTATTGGAAGAGACAGGCTTCCATATACAGGAAAAGGTCCATTAATCAGGAGACTGCATCAAGACCCCCTGTACAAAGGTAATTAAGGTAGCGAACACTTCGCAGCAAAAGTAGTGAGAGGTAGTATTCTTGCAAAAAACATAACAATAGCACAAACACATACAGGTGATTAGCTAAAATAGCATGATTTCATGGCATTATTCAGTTAGTTTATAAAATATTAGGTCTTTTGAGCATGATGAAACGGGTTGCTAAAAAAAATAGCCCATTTGTTTTAAGCGTGTACTTCGACATATAAAGTAAAAAAATATTTGCACCACGTGCCACAGTGTCCGTCGAAAATTCCTATATTATTGCAACCACGCGTCATTTGCAAATCACGAACAAGGCAGTTTGAAATTTTATACGGAAGCAATGATGAGTGACGAAGTGAACACCTACGTCGTGCAAAGGGTAGGCTGCCAGGTAAACCTGTTCATTCAGAAGCCTGTATACACCTGCAGTGGAATGAAACTTTAATTATTCATATGGAAGGTGGGGTCAAACGTTGACAGCGAGATTCAAAATTCGTTCTACAGCAGCCGCATTTAAAGCTCGGGCTATAAAATTTGGCAGCGTATTTTAAAGGCAGACGCAGATTAGAATGAAGCTCGAGATCAGTTTCAGATTCTGTTAAGTGTTTTTTTTCGTTTTTGATATTTTCCCAGTTTTTCTACATCTGTACTTTTTCGTTAGGACCACCTATTTGCAGAACAGCAAAGGTAACAACTTGTGCTTTACAGAAGTTAAACTAAAGTTGTGAGCGTAAAACCAAAACCACATATGTTAAATTGTTACGTTTTTCAGTGTATCAAAGTTTGCCATGGAGGGTTGACTTTTATTACTCAAGTAACAAGTGCATCTAGGCGATTGGTTCTAGTTACAGCTGTGTATATTCAAAAATTTAACACCCATGTGAGAACTTTGTTTTCGTATGCAGGAAAGTTCGCGAGAAAAAGCACACAAACTAAGAATGAGAAATATAAGCTTAGCTGACTACGCGATATTTTGTGGTCATCGCTGTTACGTATTTTTTTATAATAATATCATCACTGGCTTTAAAATATTGCCTTATTTCTCCTTTTAATAAGAGATATCGCGAGCATCGTACAGGTCTCGTTCTTAGGATAAAAAATTATAAAACAAAATCAAGGTGCTTAGCTTCAATATAAAATGCTCTCGCTTAGAAATAAATAACCCAATTAGTCAAAATTTACTTTAATATGGCTTCATGCTGCATTATTTTGTTTTCTTTCCATGCAAATCTGGAGAGGTTAGAACTAATCCTGCTTCCTAAGTCCCAGTGAAGCTGCGCAATGTAGCCTTATGTTCTGGCAGGCATTCACAAATCGCACTACAACAATTTTTTTTCTGGCAATTCAGCGAGACATTAAGCGAAAGCGACAGAAAGTTTGAAATTTCCTTTGTTTCCGTACCCCTCTTGCTCGAAGAGACAGTTGACGTTAAACTTGCCAAAAAAGACGCGTTCATTACCATTCTCTTTATTTCCCACAAAGCGTCATGACCAAAAAAGAGAGCATGACAGATGCCCGGCTTTTCTCACCCTTTTGCCGATCATTTTCATCGTAGGTGGTTCGCATTAAAACTTCCCACGCGATCCGGCTTCGAATGGCTTGGGAGAAAAAGCAATCTTTGTTTTGTATTAGGTACCTGCGTGCGTAAACCAGTGTAAGCAAAGTGACAACTGGTCAGTCAAAATTCAAAGCTCTCTTTAGAAGGATAAAAGCACTGCAGAGGGTCACTGGCGGAGACACGTTAGCCGAAAAAAAAAAAACCTGACGAGCATGCGGACGAAGACAGCGCTTGTCTTCGTCTTCTTGCTAGAGTTCGTTGGTTTTTACTTGCGGGCTAATAAATATGAATCAGTTACGTACGGCCAAGCTAGCTCAATGTATTAATTTCTCTCGGACAACACGGAGAGCTTAACCAATACGCAATACTCCACGTGCCATTACGCGTGGAGACAAAGAAAAAAATAGGAGGATAAAAGTTGCCAAGCAATGCCTAATAACCCTGGTCATGTACGCAGATTTCTTATTTGTGGAATAACTAATACTCAAACCTTCTTGTACTGGGGGTGTTCCTGGAGCACTAACGATGTGTCCTTCAAGGAAGCTAATGCCTTCAAGAAGACAAGAATACATGTCTGAACTCTAGCTCAAGCAAGACAGCCTGTACAAATATTTCCCACACTTTCAAGTCTTAATATTCCCCAGAATATCTGTCTTACACTACATTTCGAAAATAATATAATTCTTCAGTTTTTAATTGAAAATTGGCACATCACATGTTAAGCCAAAAGAAAAACGCCTTAGTGAAAAGAAATTTGATGAACTTCCATTATTAAAAGCATTCTCAGTGGCGGGTTAGTGAACCAATGTAGTAAAGGGACCACTCTGGTTGAGAAAACAAAATTTGGAGGGACGGGCACTGGTCCCCCTTTGTTTGCGCCTCTTGGAAATATTCGTGATTACACGTTTTCTTATAACATTATTGCTGGACGTGCTGGGTAACGATTCCAGTACTTCTCGCAATAGTGTTACAAGAAAACCTGTGTTTTTATATATTTGAAAGCAGGCGAAACGATGGCTAAACCAATAGCGGACTGGAGCCTTTCCAATAACGCTTCGTATTTTATGTTGTGCCAGAATGGTCAGTCACATTGCGCCACTAAACCACTACGCTGCGATATTGATGTACGATAGTTTCTTTTCGTGGTAATTGTAGATTTTACCGACCTGGGTAAGGTGATAGTCGTTTGGTACTTTGCTTTTATATCGAAGGGCGACCGTTTAGGAATAACCGTAGCCTAGAAATATAAATGTATCTGTGCAACATATATGTGCATCAAAGCGACAGCTGCATGCATGTTGTCATAAGATACACGATAATAGTCAGTCCCTAACAATCGCGTCGTATTGAATTCAGTTATGCTTCTGAAAAAGCTTCCATATTGAATTAGGCTGTGCGAAGAAGCATACACCAACCACACCATTTTTTCTAAGTATTCCATGTTAATTTCTTCACAGTTCTTTTTTGAAAGACTTAAATAGTAGATAACGGTGCCCCTTCAGGATAATGTGACGACTTTGTGCCAATTTGAACAATCATGGACATAATATTACACGCACACTCAGTCTCATTACATGTTGTTTAAGCTAAGCCAGTAAAGCGATTTCCCTATTATTAAGTACAACGTTTGCCTAAAGACCGTCAATTGTTTCGTTTGGTTCAGCTTCTTACCATTGATGTCTGATAGGCTGCATCTTTCTGCCATTTCCCATAAGCTTACCTCGCTAAGACAGACGCCCTTGTCAAAATCTTCCTATTTGTGTAGCATATTTAGGCCTGCAATAACCGCTTTCTTTGGTGGCTCATTGAGCATCATATAAGCGTCACGGGCGCTATTTGCGAAAATCCCAACAGGGAAGGCATGCCACCGCCGGCACATGAACACTTGACCACATGGCCACATGGTATACCATGCGTTCATGCCATGAACATGGTACATGACACACATGTACAAAAACATGCGAATGGTGGGGCTATTTCAAGCGTACCAGTGTTTCACAACAAAAACACACATACACACGTATATACACTGCGCTACACCGAGTGACATATACCAGGGGTACTACAAGGGAAGGTACTGGATCACTACGTGGCAGGCAAAAGCTATGCGCGGGCACTACGGAGGAAAGGCCACGGAGAACAGTGCTACGTCCACTACACCAGGAGCAAATCACACGTCGCCTCTGAAACTCGAGTCATCTTAGACCTCGCCTGGAGGTCTCCGGCGAAAAAGGTTCAGTGTGTGGGTGATTTTCACTGTGTCCCGCATTCGAAATAAGCCTCACCGTGCCGTTGCACAATCGCGAAGCGCTCGCCTTCAACCCCGAGAAATCCTCAGGGAGAGGGGTGTACCACTTTAGGATTGAGTCAAATCTGGGTACAATATCCCTCTTGTTTTTGAATTCGGTGACTTTCCAGCCGGCAACCGGTACGTCATTGAACCCGGCACCTCCCACATTGGAAGCCGACGCTCATACCATTATGCTACGTCTGTGGTTTCGGGCTACGGACTAGTCAAGCCACCTCTAGGCAGATTTTTTTTTTTTTCGTTGTACTCCATCTGTGAGATCGTACAAGGTGGAAATAAATTTTAATTCGAAGGGGTTGCGAGGAATGATAAATAATCGCATTTGGTCTAATCATGTTTCATGGAAGTGTCGCTATCCAGGGTTGATTTCCCATTGCTGTTCAAAACAGCCTTTTTGATATTGTAGTCACCTACGCCTACAGCGACACTGCACTGTCAACTTGTCTTGTGTTGTGTTGGTGGCTGGTGAAGTGAACACAGTAAATAAACCAACCGTAGGCTTTGTCCTTCTTGTGCAGTTAGCTGCGTTATTTTGCGCGTTTTAACGCACATATGACACACTAATACGGTGAATACCTGGGACTGAGGGAGGAAAATATGTAATCACTTGTATTTAATGATTATAAACTGAAGTGTTCTCACGTTCAATGCCGAATACAAGTCACGAAATCTGTGTTAGCACGTATTATGCTTATGAGTAAACGGAGCTTCAAGACGTTTCGTGTACTCAGATTTTGAGGGCATAATAAGGGACCTCCGGTGGTCATATTCCCACCCGGACCCTCCACTACAACGTCCCTCATCGCCCTACTGTTACTTTGTGGCGTCATACGTAGCGGATAATGTATTTCTACTCGAAAAATATAAGTGAAAGGACGTCGTGTGACCTGCTCCTTCGAAGGCGTGCACGTGATGCCGGACGTACTTACGAATCGGCATCTTCCTCGTCACCGCTGTGTACGACCAATGACAATGCACGGAGACCAGCGCCACCGGAGAAGCCAAAGTGGGAAAAAGAGCAAGCATTACTCCCCCGAAACGTCTCAGCACCGAATGACGTGGGCCGAATCACCACATTTTTTTTTTTTGCACAACTTCGATTCTGTTAGTCCCATTAGTGTTTGCTTTGTATTGGATCACAGTTTCTATCATTTTTTGTTTTCTATATTGATTACATTTTGCCTAAGTATTTGAATTGCCTTGCCTTTTCTTTTTTTTTACTTCAAACTGTGATTAGATTGCTGTCTTTTTATTTTTGCCCTAAGGTAGGCTTGCTTTTGTGCTAACTTTATAACAAGGTCCCTCTTCAGTGTTTACCCTATGGCGCATTTTTTCAGTACTAAAATGCCTATATTCAGTATATCATGTCATTATTGAATGAATTTCAAACTTCGAACTTCTAAGTTCGACAGCTAGAATGGACCGATCCCGAAGCCACGGACTCGTCATAATGTACCCAGGAATCTTGATATTTCTGACTTGCTCAGTTTTGCAATGAACACAGGGGAATCAGCTCTTTAATACAGTATGGAGATATTTGTTTGCGGCTCACCTACGGCAGGTTGCCTAAAATGTGTGACGATCACAATGCCGCAGAATGCACTGACATTGCAACGCGTAACTTACTTAAAACGGTGTCACCAATCACTGCAGCGCTGTTCACCACGACAAACATGTCATTTGAGTAAGAGCTAGTCCAACAGTAATCCAACAGGTGATGAAGATGCAACTATGGGAAATCAGCTAATGGCCGCATACTTTGAGTTGATAACACGTAAGTTTGGGCTTACGTAACCATTTGCCTATGGAAGAAGTATCAGTTTCTAGCTGACTTCAAAAAATGTAAAGACAGGCCACATGCTGCGCTGCAATGCTTAATTCGAATGTTCCCAGGATCCTCGACTACCGATCAGCAAGGTTTTCTGACCATGCAGACAAAGCGTTGCAGGACCCTTTAAAAAACATTCGGTCAGCATATTTTAATAGGAAGGTATAAAAAGAAAAGTTTATCTGTCGCAAAGTTTTCACCAGAAACATTGATGAAGCACAGAAAGGCCAATAATAGAAAAGAGAGTTAATAAAGCTAGAGCATAAACTTGTACAAGTTAGGTGAACATAAATTGAGATTAAAATAAAAAGTCGAAAAGCTGCTCGCATGGAAGGAGCACTTCAGTGTTTTGGATTGGCTCACGGGACGGCTTTGTGCTCCCCAATAGAAGAGTACTAAGTACTTTAAATCGTTAACCATGTTTTCTTAACAGACATCGTTTACTAATAATAATACCACATTAGTATGCATAAACTACTCCAAAGCGTTCCCAATTAGTTGTACACACACTGCTGCCATGTCGCTTGACAGGAACTACTTCTTCACACTCGGAGCTTGCGATATACTTACATGTGCTCTCGCTGTCGCACGAACTCAGCGTTGAAGTACTCAGTTTCGTCGGGTATGAGTTGCTTGTTGTAAGGGAACGGCGTCCAAAACTTGGCCCACAGGGCCTCCAGCGCATTGGGCTTGCCTTCGTTTTCCACTTCCGTCGATTCGTTCTCGAGCTGTAACATTGGCGTTACTTGAAAGAGACACCCGGGCAGCGTCTGGCTTACTAAGAGTACATTCAAGTAGGTCATTTTTGAGCGCTCTGGAGGATCTTAAAGATGCTCGTGAAATAGTTACTAAGCATTTTCACTAAAATATTAAGGCCAATACCTAATCAAAAACCAGGAACGCGAGTTGAATACGTGCTTGTTTTCATTGTAAAGCTGTGAAGTTGCTAAATCCGCCAAGCTCAAACAAATTCAAAGTCAGAGCGTTCTCAAACTACCACCCTAATGTGCCAAATGTATTAACACGATATGTGCAACAGAAGAGAAGATCTCTTACTTGTGCTTACAGTGCAGTAAGGAAACGAAAATGCTTGGCATTACTGGACTGCTGCATTTGCATGTGTCATAGCCTGAAACATCGCCTCAAGTACACGTGCCACTCTGTAGGCTTGCACAGGCTTCTTTCTCTGCCTCCCCCACCCTCCACTACGTTTGTCAAGCACGAAAAAACAAAAAAAAAAACGCTGCGATAGATGCAAAAACCAAAACGAAGCGATGGTGAGTTTCTGACAACAGCCACGGAACAGGAATGGGAAGCCCTCAGTTCCTGCAATGCGCCATCGAGCACCCTGGGTCATCACAAAAAAAAAAAAAAAAAACGCGAATGGTTCAACTGATCAAGCGCGTAATTAATGCCAGTCCCTCCTATAGATGGTTAAGGTTTTTAGAAAAAAAATTGGGTGACCCTTAAACTTCGCCTTTAAGAGTTGAACTCGATAGTCAAATCCAGCCCCTATAGTGCTTCATTCAACCGCTAAGTGAACACGTTTCGACCTAAAGCAAGAGTCGCATGGCCTCCAAAATAAACGGCACCCGCTTGCTATTTCGGAGGCTTTAAAGAGTCGCACAATGCCTCACAGATGAGAGCACATTATCTAGCGTTTGCTGTTTGCTTGATCAATGCCTCTAGAAAGGCGTGATATGTTTTCCGCTAGATGGACATAGTTGTGCATTTTTAGAGCTCTTTGAAAGTTTCTGTGTGTTTTTAGCGGTGATTTATGCACTATCCTGGCCTTTATCGACCTAGTTTGATGGCCTCCCAAATGCGTTTGCAAATTGCCGAATGGGATCGTTTTCGTCGTGACACTTGTCGAGCGAAATGCGTTAAGAAGACTCCTTCCACTACATGGCATTTATGTAGTGTTTTTTTTTTTTTTCACCAAAACAGCTGCAAGTGACACCGTGGCTTTGTGGTAGGACACCTGCTTGCCATGCAAACAGCCCGGGTTCGATCCTCAATGACACCGAAAGTATTATGGTTCATTTTATTTGCTTCTTTCTCAATCTTTTGCTCACAGACGACTTTTCACTCAGAAGCAACAGTGCCGACTCCAACGGCGGAATTTCTGCGACACGAGCTGTCTAATGCTATTGCGTTAAATCTGTTTAACGCTTTAGAGTACATGGTAGTCTACTAAGGGAGAGCGGACAGCCGTCCCAGTTTATCTCGAAAGGGTATACAGCGATAAGCAGGCTCGATGAGTTGTGATTAATGTAAAAACTTGTATAAATGGCCTGTGTTTCTTCTGTAGTTAGAACTTTGACAGCCTTTTCGCACATCGGTGGCGGCATACACATTTTGAACCAACTCACCGGAACAGCCAGTTTTGCCCTTCACCCCGAATCGGAAAATGTTTAACACGAGAACATTGCCGATTTCATGTTTAAGTGTACTTCTTTTTTTTTCACTATAAAACGCGCGGAAATATATGATTACAGCCGCCTTTTTTTTTGTTCATATCAAAAATGAATATCTTTTAGTTATAACGCATGTACAGTCGTGCTCTATATCACTTGCAACCCAGCACTGCATCAGCTCACGAGTTGACCAAAAACTCTCATACGATGCGCATGAGAAACATCCAATAATCTCGCACGATCATACGAGAATACATATGTGTTCATACGAGATCACCGGATACGAGGCGTACATGTGATATGAAACTTTTTCATAAGAATTACCTATTATAGCCATTATTTTCACAGCTACACACTGTTGTGTTACATGGGGGCGCTACTGAGTATGAAAATATTATTTATTTAGGAAAATGAGAACAACTTTCAGCCACGCGTAATTTTTAACCCATTAATTTACGCACTCACGTGTTACAAGTCATTGAGTGCGACTGTACGTATGATATGAAAAGCTACTCGGTAAATACCATAGAGTTTCCCAAAATTAACTAGAGGGCAGTCTGGCGCTGCGATCGTTCAGCGACCATGGAAATGATGGGTAGTACACACATTTGCCTAGTCTTCGTACTTGCGGGCGGCGAATCGTACTTGCGGCTTCGTTTATTACTGGTTACGGTTTTGTTTTGAAAGAAAGAACGAACCCTTTTGAACTTGGGGACTTGATTTAAAATAGTAAGCTTAAAAGAATAAGGTTGTGAAGCGCAAACGGTGAACATTTGCTAATTTATGTTTTTGTGAAAAAACAGCTCCAAGCCACACGAACACACGCGGAGCCAAAAACAGGCCAGAAGTATGAAAATTAGTCAAATTTGTGTACTACCCATCATTTCCATGCTCGTTGCAGCGCCGTGTGTTGCAACTCCCATAGACACTAGCGCCAGAGTTCCCTCTAGTAAGTATTGTGGGGAACTCTATGGTAAATACTTGCAACCCGTGATATACCCTACATTGTTAATCAACAAGTCGTTCTTCGCACGCCGTAGCAGTTAGCTAGTGGTTGCGCTTACGGTCCCAAGGACTATTTATCGTTTCTTTTTACTAATATCAGGAGCGTACTACCAAAGCGGGATATCTTGTCCTGTTTAATTGACTCTTCAGATTCCAACGTTATAGTGCTAACCGAAACGTGGTTAAACTCGTCTGTCATCAGCGGTGAAATATTCCCTTCTTATCCAGATTTCAATATTTTTCGTACCGACCGAGATGGCAGGCGTGGTGGTGGCGTGCTCATTGCTACTCACCGTGACCTTGGCTGCTATCGTATCAATATACCAACCTCACTCGAAATGGTGTTTGTGTGCTGTAAAGCCATTCAACCCCACGTAGTCTTAGGTGCATGCTATCGCCCACCTGATTCCGACAGTACATTTATACCAATGTTTCATGACGCGCTACAATCACTAAAGATTCATTTCCCTAATGCACCAGTTGTCCTATTCGGCGACTTTAATTTTCCGAACATAGATTGGTCTGACCTCGTCCTTGTCACATCGAAACAAAACATTGAAAGCAACTTCGTCGATACATGTTTAACATTCGCTTTAACTCAAATTGTTAATGCAGCAACGAGGCAATCTAAACACTCAGCCAATATACTTGATCTAGTACTAACAACCCATCCTGATAGAATCACTTCGCTTTCGTACCTCGACGAAATCAGCGACCATAAGGTCATTCATGGCACATTCCAATGTAGGCTGAAGCGCCCAGACAAAACGAGGAAAAAGCTTACCTTATACGATAAGGGTGATTATAATAATTTCAATAAAGAACTAACAAAATTCTGTCAGTTTGTAGTTAAAGATTTTAACAAACGATCTGTCACTGAAAATTGGTTAATGTTTAAATCTAAAATGCATGAGCTTATTAGTACTTACATTCCAACAATTACGATTGGTGAACGTAGCACATCCCGCTGGTTTAATCCTGAACTCAAGAGGCTCAAAAACAAAAAGAAACGACAATTTCGCGCCGCAAAAAACAGCAACAATCCTGTGGCGTGGCAAAAATACCAGACTACCACGAAGCTATTCTGCTCTGCCATCGATAAAGCGAAGCGGCTGTTTAATAATACCACCTTGCCCAACTTACTCCGCACTAACCCAAAACAATTTTGGAGAGTGATTAACCCGCGAAACGAAAACAAATGCATATCAATAATGGATCCAACTGGACAGCCTATCGCGAATAATGCAGTAGCAGAAGAACTAAACCATACCTTTTCTTCCGTTTTCACCAGAGAACCGATTGAAAACCTCCCTGATGTCTCCCCCCACAACTACCCTACCATGCCGGACGTCATTTTTTCACCTCAGGGCATCCAGAAAATTATCGAGTCGTTAAAACTTACATCATCCTGCGGCATCGATGGTATAAATGCTAAGGTGCTCAAAAACACCAAAGAAATCACCAGTGTCATTCTTTCCTATATTTTTCAGCAATCACTCTCATCCGGCATCGTTCCTCACGACTGGAAAGTGGGTAAGATCGTTCCGGTTCCTAAGCCTGGTTCATCTAGTTACCGGCCAATTTCCTTAACCAGCGTCTGTTCAAAAATAATGGAACATATAATTCATTCACAAATCGCTAACTTCCTTACCTCAGTTAAATTTTTTCACCCTAACCAACATGGATTCCAAAGGGGACTCTCATGCGATACTCAGCTTGCACTATTCATCCATGACTTAAGCGCTAGTGTAGACCTTAACATACCAGTTGACGCCCTTTTTATTGACTTTGAGAAAGCCTTTGACAAAGTTCCCCACAACCGCCTACTACTAAAACTCTCCCAATTAAGCCTTAACCAACTTGTCTACAATTGGATTCAGGACTTCCTCACTAACCGTCAGCAATTTGTTGAAGCTAACGATACGCCCTCTTCCCTTTCCAACGTAATCTCCGGTGTGCCACAAGGTACAGTTCTAGGACCCCTCCTCTTCTTAATTTACATCAATGATTTACCCGATAACATTTCATCTAACATCCGCCTCTTTGCCGACGACTGTGTAATCTACCGACCTATTACTAACGTTTCAGATACAATTACTCTCCAGCAGGACCTACTAAAGCTGGACGAGTGGTGTCGCAAATGGCTCATGGTATTAAATACTAATAAAACTGCACTTATTTCATTTCACAGACGCCAAAACTTACCCACCACTAACTATAATATTAATGGCTCCATAGTTTCTTCCCTAAGTTCCATTAAATATCTCGGTGTTAACATTTCACAGAATCTAAACTGGTCTTTTCAC